GCCCTGTACTTCAACTTGAAAGCGTTCTTGTAGTCAATGTAAGTCATCACTGGAGCGCAGGCATCACGATCGCTGGAGGGCTTTATCAGTAAATCATATCCACTTCCGTTTTTGAACTTTACGGTCATTTTGCGCTCTTTATATTCCACATGTCCGGTGAACAGCAGAACGTCAAATTGCGAGAGTCCTGAAAGCACACACATACAGGGATGAAGATAAAAGTTGATAAGGGCGTTAAGGTAACTATTGCTGTGGCCACCTCCACCCTATGATAAATATATACTCAAATAAAGAAGCAGAAGACGTGATCGGTGGAACGGTGATTTTATTTGTCTGAGCTTTCGACTCCACACGAGAAGTCATCGTCAGAGAAAGTGAGAAACAGCAAGAGGGTGGGAGGGGGGTTCGCACTTGTGATTGGTCAATGGGGCACGCATATTTGCTTCTATTCGAGATTAACTAATATTTGGGTGTTTCTATTATTCAAGCTTGAAAAATAGTTTAAACCAGGCCGACTTTATGGTTACACCCATATGATTCGTATCTGCTTACCTAGAGTCAATAGCATCAGAAAACGGTGGAACACATGTCCAGTCATCGCTGGCCAGAATATTAGCAATCCAGTTAGGAGTTACGCTGAACTTTTTGAACGGCCAAAATATGACCCTCTTTGGATAAAGTACTCTTTTTTTCAGTTATAGGAAAATTAAATGAAAAATATTTGGCGGAGATATATACGGCCGAACGAGACCTATGGACATTAATCGTCTGACTGTCTGAAAGTGAGTGACACTATCGTGCAATGAAGCGCTGACCACACGACGTCTGCCAATAAGTGAGGTCTTAAGACCATAGTGCCAGGCGAGTACATTCAAATGTCGGCGCCAGCAGGCGGAAACAAACAGGATTTAGCGCATCTGCTAGCAATGTCAACTGTCAAACGCAAGGAAAGATCGTTCTAGCGGCACTTTAATGGGATCGGACCTTAATAAATCTGCTAAGTTGTGTGATCACCCAGGTGAATCGTCGACTTAATCGGCGAACAGGAAGTTTACCATTAACCTAGAACCAAGCGCAAGGAAGGAAGATTAAAGCGACGGTAACGAGCAAGATAGTTGTGACAAATTTGAGGGTGCAAAATTTAACTGCTACTATGACAATCGAGAGGTAGGCAACTTGTTTGGAATAGTAAATAGACATCGAGTATCACACGACTTACCAATTCGAAGATTTTTGCGATGGTTTCGTGCTCCTTGCAACGAAAGGCAGTTGCCAAGATTGACTCTGAGCTTGCAGATGCGATAGCAACATTGGTGGACAGTAAGTTGTTCACCAAAGGTCGGACGAAATCTACCGCGCATTTGTCTAATTTGAGGTCCAATTGCTTTAGAATAACTTTCACCACTGTTAAGGTTCAAACAATGAAAAACAAATGACTCATGCAACAACACCTCAGTCAAATATAACATGAAAAAAGGCGAAAGTTCAGAGACTACTCGTTTTTAAATGCAGTCCCTTAGTTGTGGGTCTCAGGTTGGCAATAGTTCGCATACTGATAGTTAGAAACATAAGTGTCACTTTGCGCTTTGTTTGAGACGATGTGATGGATAAACAAGAATCTCAACAAGGTTGCTGGCTCGGGCTTTGTGTGTTTTCCACTGCTCAATCGAACGAAGATAAAATTAGCCCTATTTTCAAGACAGCGGATTCGGGGTTAGTTACACTTACGATTAAGTTTCCGCTTGATAATATCTACTGCCATTACCAGTGATATGCCTAATGCGTTGGAAAAGTATTCGAATATTAAGAAGGGTGGGTGGTGGGGCCTAGGAATAGCTATATTTTTACTTGACAAGGATTAGACCAAAAAGGTTTAATAAATAAAGCTAAAACGTTGCGTGTAGTAAATAGGAATAAGCAGAGAAAAGAGGGAATTAATTAAAGCAAATTGTAAAAACGCTAAAGATAACAGACTTTTCGACAACTAGTGACAACGAGAACTACAAATGCAAATGGACAAAGTAGAGGCTTTAATTGGTGGTCACGAAAACCCTGCGGTTGGACAACGAATGTGACACTTAAGCATAAAATGACAAATTACCCGAGACTGCGGTTTCTGGGGTCCTGAGAAAGCTGCGATGTGATGCAGGAATGAGCTCGGAGACGAACGTATTCTCATCAATACAGCAATTAAGTAAATGGGAACAGCATTCCTACAGGGAAGGCGAAAACGGGATTATTTATAAAGAATGGCTACTTGGTGAAGGATCAACGCAAGGGTAGAAGATGGCATATAGAGCAAAAGTGTGAAAGCTTCACCATGAAAGGATCAGAGGCTAGGATAAAAACCTTAGGTAAGCGGATTATAAATGGTCCATAGAACGAAAAGTTATAACCTTTAATTAATTTAAAATGGATGTACTTCTATAAATCGATCTAAAGCAACGGCAAGACAATACTTCACGTTATTATTTATCAAAAAATTAGATTCGATAACGTGAAGCCAAGCTGGCTGTCATAGGAAGCTGGCTGAGCCCTAAAAACTGTGTAAATGGTTCATAAGAGTTCACACCTAAGCAAAAATTGCGCGGATAAGCAAACGTTCATCTAGAAAAGTTTTAAAATTCGACAGGTCTCCATCGGTGCTATTAGAAGACGTACTGATAGTCGTCGTCGAGCGCTTGAATTGAAGACTTTAAGCCAAATGGTTTTAGAATGAAGTGTGCATAACACAGTATACACCACTGTTTGTAAATCTTGAGCAATAGAAATAGGAATATGTCTGAAATTACTATTCTCTACATATAAAATGCCCTAATTTCAAGCAATAAGAAGATATTGATCCATTAAATTTACAGCAAAGGCGACACTATATCTAAGGGTAACCTAACAGGCACAAAATGCAGTAGGTGGAATACGCGACGTATCTCATGAGACATTGCAATGTGGCTTCGATTAAAAAGAATTACTTGACTGAGGTTTTTAAGCAGCATAAGCCCAATATATTTTTTGTCCCAGTAGAGCGCCGACTTCTGAAATGTCTTTTTACGGTATGTAAAAAATCGCTAGATCAGATGGCAACTTAAGAATTATAAATCTTTCAATTGATTTTCTATGTCATTATAAAGTCAAACACAACAGAAAGCTCGCATAATATAACCTTTTTGAACTCATCTTGTAGCAATTCGCGTCTTTATCTTATCTTATAATCAGGAGGCTATATCTTTAAATTGAAGCGTGTTATAATCAAATTTTATAAACCTTAAGAGGTCTGTTCATATACTTTCGTATCAGCTAGTTTATCGATGCTCCCTGTAACGTATGCACAACAGTTCCATCGTCCATTACGACAACATCCATCGTGTGCTCAGCAACAGCGTGGGTCCAGAGGGTAGCTTACGTGTGAATTGGTTTTATAAAGGATAATTTATTTGCG